ATCTGAAGGTTCTGCTGTAAATGTAGGTTGCAATTCTACAAAGCAAAAGATAAATGTGATACAAACCCTGCCTAAATTTGATCAAAGGAAGCTAACAGATCGCGACTCTGGTCGCTAAGCTTGCTTTTCGCGCCAAGAGAAATATTCTCGCTCAACACATCAGCATTGGATACTCACCTGCCTCACGAAAAAACACAACCAAGTTTAGCAGCACAGAAACGCCGTACAGAGATGAGAACATTGCAACTTTTAAACTACTGAATGAAAACACAAGCTCTGAAAGTCGACAGGGAAGTAACCCAGGACGAAGCTCGAAGCGAAATGTCCTTAAGTACCGCTAAGGGCCCGCAAAACTATACATCAGCGGCTTACCGTGTGAGAAGGTTTTTTTTCTACGTCCGTCGCGTCCTTGCCCTTACGCGCTACGCGCAAATAAAATTTTCTTTCCTTTTATTCTACAGATCGTTTTCATGTGACGTCATCATTTTCTAAAATCGAAAACCAAAAAGCCACCAAAGCTTTTATCCCCATCAGGCATAAGAGGGGGTAAATTTATATGTGTTTACAATGTGACAGCTCAATAGTGTGCTTCGTTTGAAAACCAGCGTATTTTGAATTTCAGGGTTATGGTGGTGCGTGACACAAAGCTACAATCACATTTGTCGAAAAATATTTGCCTATCTCATGATTTTTAGCTTTTTTTGGAAGTTGGATCGTTAGGAAAAGTACTTATGAAATGTTCGTTTGCTCAGTACAGATAATCAGTCGCCTAGATAGCCAAAGTAAGTTCCAGATGTTTACACTATTTTACGGCGGTCATATTGATGCACCACAGATGCACCAACATGGCGTTTCCATACTAGGCTCTGCAACTTTCTGCGAAACATTTCGACAAATATCTGCAGTCTGGGAAAATGAAAAAACCCTAAAACTTGGAGAAGTGTCTTTTCTATCTATTTCCTATAAGATCACAATTTCTTGACTTCATCCACTGAATGGTTTTCGATTTATTTATTGATTGCGTGACAGTTTAAACGATCTATAAGAAACTATTTTTTTCTTTGTTTCGAAATATTTACATAGGGTAACGTTATCCAATCATAGTAAGGTTCGCAATCAGCAATGCAAACATGTTCTGTCTGGACAAACAAGGTGGTGAACACATGTCGCTAAAATCGGATGTCACGAGCAAGAACACGATGACAATAAAAACGTATCACAAATAGACCTTTTTAGCTTGGGCGGTTTGTTTTCCCATTGTAGACTACGTGATATTCTCTAGAGAATTGTTCTTTTATCCGTATCAAAATTATTCATTCATATACATGCGACTATGAAAATTTGAAAGCAAGAATTCTCAAGAGTATCATCACGCGGCTTGCAATGGAAAAACAAACCGCCCATGCTAAAAAGATTTATTGAAAGTCTTCTATTCATTGTAAGTAATGTAAACCAATGTTAGTATTGTAAGTAAACAATGATCGTATTAATAATAAGCAATGTTAGTATTGTCAGGAATGTAATGTTAGCTCGCGGTATTGTAAGTAATGTGAGTATTAAAATAAACATTTTCCAAGAAAACACTCTAGTACGCGAATATACTAAATTTTCGTCCGACGAGGTAGGCTGACCAAATTTTGGACAGAAAAAAAGAATTAAAAGATCCTAAGGAAAATAAAGGGGTAAGAAAAAAAATTCCTTAATTGATGTTTCCATAGATAGTCAGTATATCTGACTATGCAACTAGCAGTAATATTTTCCCGTTCGGCACCCTGCCACCCATGCTCAGTAATCAGCCACCGCGGCCGCGTGAATATCAACTGCCTGCAAATGATTCCGGTCCGCAAATGATCCCGCCGACCACAGGTGATCCCCAAATTAGACCACAAATGATCCCAGTGGAGAGACGCTTTTGTGGTACAGTGTCTGGCAGTCGGGTACAAGTTGGACATCGTACTCTAAATAGCTAAATTCGTCGTACAAATGTACAGCCGGCAAATGCTGCAATCTTGACGAAGCGTCTGTCATCATATTAGGCTTAGCTCAAGGTCAAGGTCTGGATCCGCGACTGGTATGTGGAGAACGTCTAGAGACTGGGTGCTTTTTTCAGTGCTTTTGAGGATATAAAACTGGATGTGGTACAAATATTTTAATGAAAAATAACAGATACTGCAACTCAACTGAAGAACTGTACCGATAGCGGTTCTAACAGTAGACTAATAGTCATAATGTTCAATCTGACGTTATTATACTTATCTAATCAGTCCATTCTATGCCAATGTCTTGAATGTTACTTTGCTGTGGGGGCTCCCTGGGAATCGGGATGCTTAGTAAAAAAGCGTATGCACTCAAGGGAGCAGGCGCTTTTGGGAAAGAGGGAATTAAATCGAATATTAATCATCTCAGGTACTCGAAGAAATTTGTCAAGTTAAGAAAAGGACGAAATCAATTTGAAAAGGTTTGTAGTGTGGGCAACTTTCCTATACTTTTCTTAAATAACGAAAGAAAGCAAACATTCAAATACAGATGAATACAGAGCGCGAAAAATTCATATGAGGACTCACTCGAAGTGCAACATAAAACAATTTGACCATTCGGAAATATAGAAAAGGGCGGATTTAATTATCACTATTTCAAGTCACAGTAAATGGTTTGAACCCAGGAGTATCAGTAGTTCGTATTGTGTAATCGTCCGGGTGAGGGGAGTTCTGAAAAGAACTTTTGTTGGTGACTGACGTTTCGACAACCTGAGCGGAAGTCATCTTCAGAGTCAAGTGAATAGTGTTTGTCAGTCGATGATGTTATAAGTCTGGTCCGTTGAACGTAATTGGTCAGTTTAGCCATGATGGTATTGGCTGAAAGAGTCGTGTAAAGTTTGTCATCAGTCATTAGTCGGTTTCGATCCGTCTATTGTTAGTCAAATTGGTCGGTTTTAGGTCCGTCTAATGTTAGTCAAATTAAGTTGATCTGTTAGAGGTCCGTTTGTCGGTTTCGTTTCCGTCGTGGATAAGTCGTTTGTAAGGCGCCGGTAGTTGTTCGCATCTGTTAAGAGGCGTTTGTTCCAGGTTAGTGCACTAGCTTTCCAGAGTCAGTCGTTGAAAATAGTTTGTACGGTAGGTTAAGCACTGAGCAGAGTACCGATCAATGTGTCAGTCTCGTGTTAAGGTTTCTGCCAGTCTCACTGATGTAGGAAGCCTGGCAATCGGAACATTTGATCTTGTAAACTGCTCCCTGCCTGTTGTTAGGTTCGGCCCTGTCTTTAACGTTGCTCAGTAAGTGTCGTAACGTAGTTGTAGGTTTCTGGGCTACACGGATGTTGTAGGGCTGTAGGATCCGTGAGATGGTCTCAGAAGTGCCCTTAATGTAAGGTTTAGTCACTGTAGTAACACCTGTTACTACAGTGACTGTACCTTACCTGCTTACAGATGTCAACAACTACCGGCGCCTTACAAACGACTTATCCACGACGGAAACGAAACCGACAAACGGTACTCCTGGGTTCAAACCATTTACCATGACTCGAAATAGTGATAATTAAATCCGCCCTTTTCTATATTTCCGAATGGTCAAATTGTTTTATTTTGCACTTCGAGTGAGCCCTCGTATAAATTTTTCGCGCTCTGTATTTATCTGTGTTTGAATGATTGCTTTATTGTGTCATTAAAGAAAAAAATAGCAAAGTTGCCCACGCCACAAAACTTTTCAAATTGATTTTGTCCTTTTCTTAACTTGAGAGGGGTAACCCGAAAACACTGATCCCCGGTCCGCGGACCCCCACAACGGGCCGGGTCCGCGGACTACCCTACAGACCGGTCCATGGACTACCCCTACGGACCCCCTCTACGGACCACCCTAAAATACTGTAAAAATAATAAATAAAGATTTCACTTATGGGTTGTCTAATAGATTCAGACTCGTGTTGGTGATTTTT